TGAATAATATTATTGTTATTAGACTTTTAACGAAAAGATCTGAAAATAATTTTACAAAAAAAAATATATATATATGTCGATGGAATGAAAAGATTATTTCAAATTTCCTTCTAAGTTGTAATCATTCCAAAAACTTGCCGTTTATTGTTTTCATCGTATTTTACGTAGCAACTAAAGCATAATGTCCATGATGAATCGCCAAAATATCATCCACATTTTCCCCACAAAACTTGATTCCGGATTCCACAACTTTTAGTCCGGTAAACATTCGAGTATATATTATTTTCTTCAATTTACGATATAACTTTCCATTTTTTACTTATTTTCTTTAATAACTTGTCGAGTGTGGGGTGACACCTTCCCATATGCCGTCTTGCTATGACATCTACTTTTTCACATGCATGGAGCGTTTTATTCTTTATTTATCTCTGAAAAGGGCATCGCCTTGAATTATTGATAAATTAATTTCCCGCATTGTCGCGTTTAATTTTCTGCGTATCCAGTGCCCATATCTAACTATCATGTCGTTTGGAGACATGTACGTATATATATTTAACAGTAACCAAATCAAACATTTAAGCTTTCCTTCCCAAATTTTGTTGGTGGTAACATGTTATATAAGTACACTTCCGGAACACAAAATGTCATTTTCGGTATTTTATTGGCTTGATGATGTCTTCAATTTTGATTTAAGCATTTCCTCTGTACCTATTTTCTATTATCTAATATTTTTCCCTTTTTTTCCCCTGGTGTTTATCTTGCACTTACAATTACACGTATCAAACATTAGAGTTATAAAATCATTATATCAAACTGTATCGCACGCACAACCCTCAATGTATCAAAACAACATTATCTTACGCAGTACCCTCAATGTATCAAAACAACATTATCTTACGCAGTACCCTCAATGTATAAAACAATGTAACGCTATCTTACTCGCAACTCTCATTGTTTGTTTATTCCTTACAAACTTGTACAATTTGCATAAATCTGACGAGCGGATTTTACACAGAAAATTGCATTCAATTTTGTCGGTGTATGTTTAATAACCCTAAAGATAATAATGGTCATTCCGTGTAATCAAATTAGCTCAAAGTTAAAGAATATGTCTCATTTTTAATGAAAACGAAATATTTTTGCAAAAAAACAACAAAAAAACCACACTGCACTTTGATTTCAGCATTTAATCTTAAAGCGATAGACATTTAAAGAATAAAACAAATATCTGCATTTAGGGAATACAAATTAAAAACTGATGCTAAAAGAGATACAGCGACACAGACAAAGATGGCATTACAATAAACAAATTTAATACTCACAAGCGATACAGCGATACACACAAAGATGGCATTACAATACACAAATTTAATACTCACAAGAGATACAGCAATATACACAAAGATGGCATTACAATAAACAAATTTAAGTAAATGAAGTATTTAAGATAAAAAGTTAGTTTGTTTGACAAAACTATATGTTGAAATATATGCTTACTATATTCTTGTTATTCACAGGACATCTTCGGAATGATAATTTCGTAGGCATATACATATACGTGATTTTAACATTTGTTTTCTAGTGAATATCTGTTGGGAACAGATTGAAAGTTTTATCAGAAGTGTACTAAACTACTGATAGATCGTTTAACGGGTGGGTACAGGTGATGCCATCCTTGATATCCAGGGGGTACGCTCATTTTCGCTCTCTGCACCCCTGGAATATGTCATAGCAAAATTAAAGGCACGAAGATAGCTGCTTGATTGGTCTCAGGTAAAAAAAAACCCGGACCAATCGCTAGGCTGGTACCTGTCCTTTGAAGATTACAAAGGAGAGACGCCCGACTTCAAAGCCTGTCAATGTTTACCGTTACGTGACCGTGAGCTTATTTGATGTACATCAAAGGATCGATCCTGTCTTCTTGTCTCATCCACAAGGTGTAGCACACTAAGCCTACACTGTTGCTATGACATATTCCAGGGGTGCAAGGAGCGATGGATATCGAGGATGAGGTGATACATGGTGGATACTAATATACTGATAGATCGGTTAACGGGTGGGTACAGGTGATAGATCGGTTAACGGGTGGGTACAGGTGATAGATCGAGTATATAAAAATAAACTGATAATATTTCAATAGTATATACCGACTTCTACTGGACATCAGGATATGTTTTAGAAAGTTAACGCCTTTATATCCACATATGTTTCGAAACGCTTAATACCTGGATTTCCATTCTTTGCACCATTGGTGTTTACTATGTTAGGCTTTCTGCAATAAACATCTAATAAACACCCTTACTTCCTTTAATCCTTTCTTTAATCCGGGTAAATTCAATTTCCTCATTATCAGTATAAATCAATCATATTTAGGCACGTGGAAATCACCGGCTAAACAGGTGGTTAATATGTACATATTGTGTATGGTAAAGCTACAATTAACACCATTATACTACGTTCAACAACACTACGACATAGATGCTTTCTCTGTTATTGTTTACATATATTTGCTAATACATCCCGAATAAGTAAACAAAGTTTATTTCCGAGCAAGGCGGCAAGGCAAACTAAAGTTTAATCAATTTTAGCTTCTTGAAGTGACTATGAGTCGGAATTTTCCGTCAAAAGACCCCGTATCAAGACAATAGATTAATATAAAGCTAAAACAACAGTTACTTACTGCTGCATGGTGCGAGAGAAACCCCCGTTTGATAGGTTGACGTGATATTAAGCTATACCGCACAAATAAATGTATTACAACATTATAGAGAAAAGGTTGCGGCAGAGTTTGCTCATATACATCTAGAACTGTAAACAAAAACCTAATCTATATATCTTAATACTACATAATAACTGGATTTTCTTTGAAAGTCTTCGTTGAAGTGGTTGGGTACAATTATAAAATGGGTGCTGTTCTGAGGTTTTGCGGGGTGTAAAGGGACAATTTAGTGAAGATTTTTATATACAATCTAGTAGCAAAATTCTTCATAATAATGTATTTAAAAATCCTGATGAACAATACATATAGGGATATTGACAAGAGACAATGTATTTTGGCGTTTTCAATCAGTAATGAAGAAATTCTTCACTGTTCAACCGTACGTTTTAGCGACAGGTGTTGATGAACGTCTAATTATCAAATGTGTTATTCAGCCGAGGAGAGAAGGTACATTCTCGCTTTATTCGTCTAACTTCTTTAAAATTCCTACATTTATTCGGATTCAATAGCATCTTTCAAACAACATCTCAATCATCGTTAAAAGCGAGTAATTTACTTTACGTTTAGTCTACTGATATCTTAATTTGTACGGTTTGGAGTTCTCCATTCGGTTCCATCTTGTGTTCCTGCTGTATTTAAACCTGTTTCTTTTTATTCCAATCCGACTGTGAACAGAAATATCTCATTAGATTTATATATTGTGTTATTTATTATTTTTGCTTGCGACGTATTGTGTACATTCAAAGTGACAAGCGTGTGTTATGTGTGAATTCGGATTCATTGTCGGTCGACAGCGTGGTACTGTACATATTTACTTCTCACTGAAAGGCTCGGATATTGCGATATTTCGGTCGTAGCTATATTTATCACCGGATTTCTAAAAAGGTAAAACTGACCTCACTCGACGTTGCCTTCATGTCATGCCATTATCAACTATGTATAACTTCATTAGGAGGTATATGTTTTCCAGTATCTGATCGATATTAAGGGTGTTATTTTACTAAATAGTCCCTTTAAAGGATCCCCGTTCCACTGCCAAAAATCAATCTACGCATTGGAACCTCTTTTCCTGGCATGACTTTATTCCAGTGCTAGACCGTGATTCTAACCTTGGACTCATTAACAAAAAATGTAACGAAAATATTCTATATGTGTTTCTTATTTTGCGGTGTCAGAACATGTGTAGACACATTGGCAGACTTATTTGCAGCCATTTTCATATTGCCCACCAGACAAGTAACTATCATATTGCCCACCAGACAAGTAACTATTTTATTGCCCACCAAACAAGTAACTATCATATTGCCCACCAGACAAGTAACTACATGTATCATATTGCCCACCAGTAAAAGGTAAGAAGTGCCCCGCAATACAACAAATCAAGGTTTTGTGATAAACTTAAATTAATGTACATTGAAATATATCAAAGGCAATCAAAGGTAAACCTAAATTTATAAAATATACAGTGGAATGGTAAAATATGACACGTGTATATGTATAAAATATACGGTGGAATGGTAAAATATGACACGTCTATATGTATAAAATATACAGGGGAATGGTAAAATATGACACGTGTATATGTATAAAATATACAGTGGAATGGTAAAATACGACACGTGTATATGTATAAAATATACAGTGGAAAGGTTAAAAAAAAGACACGTGTATATGGATTAAATATACAGTGGAATGGTAAAATATGACAAGTGTATATGATTATCAGCAACATACATTTTTTGATATTTTGTGGCATCATATACTTAAGATATGATGATTCCATCTTTTACATAGTTTTAATTGGCTATGTTAAACAATTTCAACAATTTATTCTAAATAACCAAAATGGTTAGGACGATGACATTTGGACAGAAGCATGCAGGGATCAAGTGCTACCATGATTGTTCAGATGAATGACCTTCACCTATATTCAAGGTTTCAGGGGTCAATTACCTTAAAACATTTAATAACTTCTTTTAAATAACAAAAAGGATCATAATAATGATATTTGTCCAGAAGCATGCTGGGATAAAATACTACCAGTTTGTCCAAATGAATAACCTTCGCGCTTATTCAAGGTCACATGGGTCAATTATATTACAAACGTTATACAACTTCTTCTGAATAAGCATATGTCCATTGTAATGATATTTTGCTAGAAGCAAGCTAGGATTAAATGCTATCAACTTTGTCTAAATGAATGACCTTTGCGCATATTCAAGGTCACAAGGTTAAATATTCCTTTTTTCAGAATAATATTTAAACAACTTTCAAAAGACCCATGGTGATGATATTTGGCTAGTAGACCCATGGTGATGATATTTGGCTAGTAGAATGCAGGGATGAACGGCTACAAAGTTCGTTTATGGTCTTTACCTTCTTTCAAGGTTAGGTATTGTCAAATGTATATAAACTTGATTTATGACCTAATGTCAATAAACAACAGTTTTAGGTAAGTGATATTCGGCAGGTTGCATGCTGGAATAAGGGTTATAAAGCTTGTTCAACTTAAAAACCTTGTTAGATTTTCAAGGACACAGGAGTCAAATGTTTTAATTTTTACCGGGTTCTTTTGAATGACTTAGCGTCATACATACTTTATTTTGCCTGTAGCTTTATTTTAGTCCAAAGGTTACACGTGTTTGATTAACACCAGGGGAGCGATGCAGGCCCATTTGGCCTCTTGTTCAATCGACAGCTCAATTCATGCCATATTTGATTATAGTCAATGTAGTTGAGATGCCTTTTTCGATATGGTTCGACTCATTTATTATTTTCTGTTGGTAAAGGGGAGACAAGTCAATCCATTTATCAATACAAAATTACGACTAAAATATGTGAGTCACTGCGTGAGTGATCTAACTGGAAACTCTTGTCAGGGGCTCAGTTAAAACGTGTTAGTTTTAAACTCTTGTCAGGGGCTCAGTTAAAACGTGTTTGTTTTAAACTCTTGTCAGAGGCTCAGTTAAAACGTGTTAGTTTTAAACTCTTGTCAGAGGCTCAGTTAAAACGTGTTAGTTTTAAACTCTTGTCAGAGGCTCAGTTAAAACGTGTTAGTTTTAAACTCTTGTCAGAGGCTCAGTTAAAACGTGTTAGTTTTAAACTCTTGTCAGAGGCTCAGTTAAAACGTGTTAGTTTTAAACTCTTGTCAGAGGCTCAGTTAAAACGTGTTAGTTTTAAACTCTTGTCAGAGGCTCAGTTAAAACGTGTTAGTTTTAAACTCTTGTCAGAGGCTCAGTTAAAACGTGTTAGTTTTAAACTCTTGTCAGAGGCTCAGTTAAAACGTGTTAGTTTTAAACTCTTGTCAGAGGCTCAGTTAAAACGTGTTAGTTTTAAACTCTTGTCAGAGGCTCAGTTAAAACGTGTTAGTTTTAAACTCTTGTCAGAGGTTCAGGTAAAACGTGTTAGTTTTAAACTAATTTAGATCAACATAGTCTACCTCTACGGATAGAGCTTTGTACATGATTATGCATGTTGCCGAACTCTTTTTAAATATATGTACGGCAAAGTGTTTTATGAAATAGATTTTCTATGACCATACCATTCTTAAAAAATAACAAGGAAGTAATACCAAGGCGGGCGAAAACAAAAATACCTGAAAGATTATATCTCCAAAGAAACAACTTTCTGCACATCATGATTGCTTATGACTTTGCATAGGCACACTGGCGACGGAATAACTAAATAGACATCCTTGCACAGATACTTCAATAGCGTACAAGCAATAAGTATCTGACTGGGAGTTCCTCAGTTTTCCATATCTTCTGGTAAATTGACTTTCTTCGAGAAGTCAATTTCCCCGTAATCACACTTGTTCTCTATACCATGGATGGCAACCTTTCCAGTCTCTTCGCCGTCTGTCTTCTTGGTGAAATCTACCTCTAAGTACACTAGGCCATCTTTGTTTGTTGTCTACAACAGAGAAGTAAGCTAAGCTAGAGCAGTGACGTTTTAAAGTAGGTTTTGTTTTCTTATTTATTTATTTTTGTATTTGGTTTACGAACTTATAACTTCTATGTTCATTTTAGGACGAACCAGGTTTGATTGCGGCGGAGAAAAAACACCGACCTACGCTAAAGTACCTGACGACTGCCTCATGGCGACCTTAAACCTACGATCCAGTGGTGAGGGCTATTGATCGGACCGATCAGATGCCTGGACATTTGGCCACCACGCCCTTTGTATACAATGTAGAACGTATGCTATCAAGTGATGATATAAGAGACTTCATTCAGATGAGAGCGTTTTCTATCCGAGTAATGTTAAAGTAAAACGTAAACTTAAAGTCTGATAACGTTTCCTGAAAATTGCATATTAAACGGTCAAATAGATGAATGAATCGTGCAGTAATGTAAAGAAGGTAGCAAAGAGATAGCAATATACTTACCCTTGTTGTTTCTGGGCCTAGCTCCTGATTTTTTCCAGCTGAATTAAATAAAATGTAAGAATATTTATTATTTCTAATTGGTCGAGACAAATATTCCGTTCCAATTTTTGATAACGGCCTAGCAATGGGTGAAATTGTAAATTATCGGACGCTAATAATACCAATACTTATATCACATTCATTTTTGATACAATTTGAAACACTAGTTTTTGTATTGACATTCAGGAAATAATATGTATATATTAGAGGTTATCAGTAATACAGTTTCAAATGTCAAACCAATGCACCGCGCCATCATCAGGGGCGCATGCAAAATGTCATAAAATTCACGAAGCTACCTTGATAACACTGCATAAAGTAATGACGCTATGGTGACGTTTTCAGAATAATAGCGCGTTGAAGCTTTTTTTGTCTTTCCCTAGTACTGTATGAAAGAACAGGTCATTTAACCCAAACGTAATATGGAAACCCAACTATCTGGCAATCCCTAACATGTCTGGAAAAATTGCTCTCAAAGAGAGATCATGTGAAACAGCACGTAGCAGAGCAATCTATTGTTGCCTCGAGGTCAAAGTGTCGATTGTAACTGATAGCCGTTACAAAGTCCCCAAACGACCCCTGTAGTCACTAATGAAGCTTATAGAAGATGCGATATTGTTCCTTAAGACCTAATATGCCTAAACACCGAATTTCAGAGTAATTTGACAAAGTCTAAACTTCAACCGATCAGAAGCCTTATGGACAGTATTAAAGTAATGGCGGCCATTTTGTTGAATCATAAAACGGACACTTCAGTTGTTTTCGTGGTGGCATATTACACCTTTATACCAAATGTCATCCAAATCGGACAGTATTTAAATTTTGACCAATCAAAGGAAAAAACGGCGGCCATTTTGTTGAAATGTGAAATCTAAGCAAGGAAGTGATCATTGTCCTATGATACACCTACATACGAAATTCGATCAAAATTGGACAATATTTAAATCTCGACCAATCAGAGGCCAGGAAATGATGGCAGAGTGATCAAATTTGATCAAAAATGGACAATATTTAAATATCTACTAATCAGGGGACAGGAAATGGGGGCCGAGTGATCGTTGTCCCATGATTCACCTACATACCAAATTTGATCGAAATCGGAAAATATTTAAATTTCGACCAATCAGAGGTCAGGAAATGGCGGCCATTTTGTTTAATTACAAAACAAAATTGGATGATGTCTAAATTTCGACCAATCAGAGGCCGCCGTCCGGCGGACCATTCGGATGACCGATAGAAAAACGAAAATACTCTTGCGCACCGCCTGTCATACACGAACACTACTGTAAAGTTTCGTTGAATTCCGCCCTACGGTTTTTGAGAAACATGTCGGAAACCTCGTCGGTGGAAGAAAGTGGAAGAGATAAGAATTATAAAGAAAATTATAAGTCCTCCAAATCCCCGCAGTTATGTTCGCAGTGCAAAAATAGACCTACATATGATATTAGAGCAAAAGTGACTAACATTTAACGTATCGGCCTATGCGGTTGAATTCGTAGTTCCCTAAAACACCTATATTCCAATTTTCAACAAAATCAAACAATATCTAAATTTCGACCAATCAGTAGCCTCCTCGCTATTGCTATGGCAACGAGACCACTGCGATTGAATTTGCAGTCCCCTAATACCCCTATATACCAAATTTCATCAAAATCGAACAATATCTAAATGTCGACCAATCAGAAGCTTCCGTGTGGTTGCTTTGGCAACGAAACCATCTTTGTTGACTGATCGGAAAATGAAAGGTCATTTACACACACCCTCTTCATGATGAACACTTGTGTAAAGTTCCATCCAATAGTTTTTGAGAAATGTGTCGGAAACTGTTACTGCAGAAGAGAAAGAAGAAGAGGAAGAAGAAGAATAACTAGAATTGCGAGCAATAGCGGAAGTCACCCCTCCCCTGTTAACTACGCAGCCATTTTGTTTTTTTGACAAAACAAACAACGCAGTTGTGTTCGTAGTGCCATACTACACCTACATACCAATTTCATCAAAATTGGACGTACTTAAATTTCGACCAATAAGAAGCTGCATTTGGCCGCCATTTTTAATCCAAAGTCAAAATGTTTTGGTGAAACGAGCGCTGTGACGTTATCATCCCTTTCACTAAGTTTCATTATGTTCCATCAAATATAACGAATGTTATTACTGGATATGATTTCGGCCAATCAGAGGCAGCAGCAGCCATCTTGGATGGTTGTCCCGGAAAAAAGGAGTAAGATGCACAACTAGATATCGTACTGATTATGTTTGCAAAGTATGATAAGAATCCCATTTGTAGTTTCTGAGATTAATCGCGGAGAACAGCGGTGGAATAATAATAGGAAGAAGAATAAGTAAGAAACGGAACAATAACAATAAGTCTCCCCGACTTCGTTTGGGGGACTTAATAATAATAAGAATCGGATCAAAAGCAATATGTCTCTCCAAAAAATGTTTGAGGGACATAATAACGGTAATTGAAATATATTAACCGTTTATAAGAAAAAAATCCTCTTTTGTTTTAGTAAAACGAGAATATATTTACCTGTGGGTTTTGATACTGTACTATATATGTCTCTTGGCCCAGCAGACTTGGCTCTGTCTACAATATTGGCAAAAGGTTAGCAAGTTAGAAGTGAGTCAAACTATTCTGTCATAATATACCTTAAAGTAGATTGTCCCGTCACTTTTCTACTGTGTACTTGGCTACCTGTAAATTTGATGTTATTTTCTCTATATTCATAATAGTATCTAAGAAAATTACTGCAGATAACCCACATCCACACCTAGTATTTAATAATACTCGGGTAAGTAATATTACAAATCACAAACATCTAGGGGTTTACTTAAATGAACATGGTAACTGGACACATCATATAAACTTTATTTTTGAAAAGGCATCTAAAAGAGTAAATGTTCTAAGAATGTTAAAATATAAAATCTGTAGAAAGGCACTTGAAATATTGTATACTACACTTATCAGACCTATTCTAGAGTATCCTTGTGTTATATGGGATAACTGTACAAAACAAGAAAAAGATCTCTTGGAATCTATACAGCTTGATGCTATCAGGATAATTACTGGTCTAAGAAAAGGCACTAGCCACTGTATATTATATAAAGAAATAGGGTGGGAAAGTTTACAGAATAGGAGGGATAAACATAAACACATCTTCTTCTTTAAAATAACAAACAAAATAACCCCAAATTATCTACATGAAATTATTCAACCATATATATTAAACCCAGAAGAAAATACATACAATCTTAGGCACTCAAGAATTTTCAATGAGCCCCTTCCTAGAACCACACTATATGCTAATAGTTTTTTTCCCAGTATGATGAACATATGGAACAGTGCCAATAATAACCTTACTAATATTACAAATATTATTACTTTTAAAAGGGAAATACAAAAGGTAATTGTAGGGGACACAGAACAAAATGTATGTACACCTGTATTTAAATACTCTGGTTCACGAAAAAGTAATATATTAATGTGTCAATTAAGAAATGGTGCTAGTCAACTAAACTATAATCTGTTTAAAGATCACTTGAAAAATAGTCCAAACTGTCCTTGTAGTCATGCAATTGAAAACTCTTATCATTTCTTTTTTGAATGTCCTCTCTATACAGAAGAACGACAAACTTTTATGCAGGATCTTATATTAAATGATGAAGATTTCCATAATACAGTACCTGTAAGTACTATTCTAAATGGAATCGCTAGTAATAGTGATTTACAGAACAATCAATTGATGGAGTGTGTGCATAAATACATTAATGCTACAGGACAGTTTAAATAGATAATTTATACAAGCTGTATGTGGTTGGTGTATTATTTGTATTCTGTAAGATAAATTCATTATTTCTGTTAATAGTGGATAATAAATATATATATTTACATATAATATACCAAGGTTGATTGATCACATGGCAACAAATGCCCAGGGACTTTATGTGGTCATGACACTTAAGGTATGATGGAGTAATGTAAATCAATAGTTATAATTTATTTAATTATTGAAAAACTAATAATTTATTATGAAATACCAAAATGCCACATATTTGTATCCTGTGAACTAGTGTACTTTGTTATCATATTTAATACCCAACTGCACATTCATTTAAAACAAATATTAACTACATTAAATAAACCAACAAACCCATGCCTGTAGATACAAATGTGGTGTTAGAGTGTATGAGTGAGTGATTGAGATTATTTTGTGTTCTTATATAATTATTTATGTCTTTTTGTGTTTTCATATTAATATTTTTTTATTTATGTTTTTTATATATATTTTTTTCTGTTTTCTATTAGTTAATTTTTTATTTGATTTTCCAACTCATCTCAAGACATGTTTACATCAAATAAGTCCTGGTACATTTCTTTATCAGCATACATGCATGTATCAGTTTTGCTTTATTTCATGTTGCCGTAGTAAATTTTAGTTGCTCAAGGTCAAGACGTATATCCATATATTTAATTCGATTTGAATACTGTGTATATTCATAACGGTATATTTAATTCTTCTTGACACAAATTTTACAACTATATTAAATATTAATATCGCAAAGTTTGTATTTTTTTCCAAGGACTTTTTTTCTGTAGAAACATGAAAATATTAAGCCAGCCTAATTAAATGTATATTACCTAGCAATAAATGTATCCATGTGTCATGAGATGAGTTGAAATAAAATGTTTGTTTGTAAATATTGTATTCAATGTCTTCAAATATCAAAAGTATGCTGGAAGCCATGGAGAGAGCTTATATAGGCAAAGCCTGTTGCTCAATCCTTTTGTTTAATCAATAAAATATATTTGAAATCTATATTCATACTTAGACAATTATACGTTGCGACCATTATCAGGGAGTTGGAAATTCTCTCTAGTAAGTTAATATTTACGTATTATTCTAACTGAGAATATAACCAATGGCACAGTGGTAGAGCACCGTACTGTATAACAAACAGCTTAACATAAACTATGGCCAGTAATACAGTGATAAAATATCGTGCTTTATAATCAAGAGCAAAACTTCTTCTTTAACCGGAAACAAAGTGGTTAAACATCGTGCTTTATAATCAAGAGCATAACTAATACTTTAACTGTAAACAAAGTGGTTAAGCATCGTGAGTTTCAATTAAGAGCATAACTAATACTTTAACAGGAATCAAAGTGGTTAATCATCGGAGATGAAGAGGTCGGTGATCGACACCTTGTTGAGGAGCCAAAATGATCTCGTGGTAAATAAATTATAAAAGGTTAGTTTTTTAGTATCTAATATTTGCTATAGCAAAAGGGCAAGCAGGCGATGAACTCTTTTCTCATTGGAGATACAACACACAACTATACCTTAAGGTTAATTATTGAGCAATTTCTAACATGTCACTAGAAAAAAGAGTGAATCACAAATAAATTAACGTTAGCAAATTAAAGTTAGAAATACAGCATGTCTCCTGTAAAGTATGGGAACGTGGTAATTTATTCAGTATTCAAATCTTGCAATTCTTATCAAAATTTTAAAAGATGATATTTTGCTAACTATAAAACATATTTCACTAGAAAATAAGCGGATGATTAAATACATGTCAATTTAAGTCAAACACAGCCAATAAACAGAAAAAAAACATATCAATTTACGTACAAATGTAAATTCCTTACTTACCTGAAAGTTTATACCTAAACTAAAAGTGTTAGAATTCAAAGTATATATTTACCTGTTGCACTGGGCTTTGTTCCTGTACCGTATACGTTGCTAGGTCCAGCAGATGCGGGTCTATCTAAAATATCGATCAAAATGTATTTCATGGTTAATTCGTAGTTGAAACTTTATTGGTAATGAAAAGTAGCACAATGTAACGTTTTATCTTTCCTTTTTCATCCATTGTATTTTCAAATGTATGACTATACGAAACACAATAAAATATTCTAGTTATCATATTTAGCTATTATGTAATTAATTATTGAAGGAACAATAAAACATTTAAATTCGGCTTCATTTATGTCTAGAAAATAAATAGAATTAGCAAAAAAACAAACTAAACTATTTTGTCAGATAGACAACCCTTTCCAAACATAAATTGGTTTCAAATTTTAAAAGAGAACAACGTAAAACACAAAACTTTCCTCGTTTCTCAAAGTGATAAAGTAACAAAATGTCGAAAATGTTCTTCTAAATATAATACTCGTCAGGATACGTCATTGATCCGTAAGTCATTATAGTTAACGCTAACATTTTATTCAAGACTGAGGTTATTTTGTCGCCATGTTGAAACAATGAAACCCGTCTATACAGAACAACTAGAGGAACAAGTAAAAACAGTCCATATACAAAGAGGTGGTTTCTATGGATATAAAGTTATTATAAAGAGTCCTTTAACTAGCATATATATACAGATGATATTAGATACAGGTGATATTAGATACAGGTGATATATATACAGGTGATATTAGATACAGGTGATGTATATACAGGTGATATATAATACGGGTGATAAATATAAACAGGTGATAGATAATACAGATGGTAGATATAAACAGGTGATATATGATACAGGTGATAGATATAAACAGGTGGTAGATATAGACAGGTGATAGATAATACAGATGGTAAATATAAACAGGTGATAGATAAAACTGGTGATATATAATACAGGTGGTAAATATAAACAGGTGGTAGATATAGCCAGGTGATAGATAATACAGGTGGTATATATAAACAGGTGATATATAATACAAGTGGTAGATATAAACAGGTGATAGATAATACAGGTGGTATATATAAACAGGTGATAGCTAATACAGGTGGTATATATATAAATAGGTGATATATAATCAGGTGGAAGATATAAACAGGTGATAAATAATACAGGTGGTTGATATAAGCAGGTGATAGGTCATAGAGATGGTAGATATAAACAGGTGATATATAATACAGGTGGTTATATAAACAGGTGGTATATAATACTGGTGGTTAATATAAACAGGTGGTATATAATACAGGTGGTAATATAAACAAATGATAGATAATACAGGTGGTAGATATAAACAGGTGATAGATAATACTGGTGGTAGATATAAACAGGTGATAGATAATACTGGTGGTAGAAATAAACAGGTGATAAATAATACGGGTGAAAAATATAAGCAGGTGATAGATAATACAGGTGGTAGATATAAAAAGGTGATATATAATACAGGTGGTAAATACAAACAGGTGATAGATAATACAGATGGTAAATATAAACAGGTGATAGATAATACAGGTGGTAGATATAAACAGTTGATAAATAATACAAATGTTAAATATAAACAGGTGATAGATAATACAGGTAGTAGATATAAACAGGTGATATATAATACAGGTAGTCATATAAACAGGTGGTATATAATACTGGTGGTTAATATAAACAGGTGGTATATAATACAGGTGGTAATATAAACAGGTGATAGATAATACAGGTGGTAGATATAAACAGGTGATAGATAATACTCGTGGTAGATATAAACAGGTGATAGATAATACAGGTGGTAGATATAAACAGGTGATATATAATACAGGTGGTAAATATAATACAGGTGATATATAATACAGGTGGTAAATATAAACAGGTGATATATAATACATATGGTAGATATAAACAGATGACATATAATACAGGTGGTAAATATAAATAGGTGATATATAATACAGGTGGTAAATATAAACAGATGATATATAATACAGATGGTAGATATAAACAGGTGATATATAATACAGGTGGTAGATCTAAACAGGTGATAGATAATACAGGTGGTATATATAAGCAGGTGATAGGTAATACAGATGGTAGATATAAACAGGTGATATATAATAGAGGGGTGGTTATATAAACAGGTGGTATATAATACTGGTGGTTAATATAAACAGGTGGTATATAATACAGGTGGTAATATAAACAGGCTATCGATAATACAGGTGGTAGATATAAACAGGTGATAGATAATACTGGTGGTAGATATAAACAGGTGATAGATAATACTGGTGGTAAAAATAAACAGGTGATAAATAATACGGGTGATAAATATAAGCAGGTGATAGATAATACAGGTGGTAGATATAAAAAGGTGATATATAATACAGGTGGTAAATATAAACAGGTGATAGATAATACAGATGGTAAATATAAACAGGTGATAGATAATACAGGTGGAAGATATAAACAGGTGATAGATAATACTCGTGGTAGATTTAAACAGTTGATAGGTAATACAGGTGGTAGATATAAACAGGTGATATATAATACAGGTGGTAAATATAATACAGGTGATATATAATACAGGTGGTAAATATAAATAGGTGATATATAATACAGGTGGTAAATATAAACAGGTGATATATAATACAGATGGTAGATATAAACAGGTGATATATAATACAGGTGGTAGATCTAAACAGGTGATACATAATACAGGTGGTAAATATAAACAGGTGATATATAATACAGATGGTAGATATAAGCGGGTGATATATAATACAGGTGGTAAATATAAACAGGTGATATATAATACAGGTGGTAAATATAAACAGGTGATATATAATACAGATGGTAGATATAAACAGGTGATATATAATACAGGTGGTAGATCTAAACAGGTGATACATAATACAGGTGGTAAATATAAACAGGTGATATATAATACAGATGGTAGATATAAGCGGGTGATATATAATACAGGTGGTAAATATAAACAGGTGATATATAATACAGGTGGTAAATATAAACAGGTGATATATAATACAGGTGGTAAATATAAACAGGTGATATATAATACAGGTGGTAGATATAAACAGGTGATATATAATACAGGTGGTAAATATAAACAGGTGATATATAATACAGGTGGTAAATATAAACAGGTGATATATAATACAGGTGGTAGATATAAACAGGTGATATATAATACAGGTGGTAAATATAAACAGGTGATATATAATACAGGTGGTAAATATAAACAGGTGATATATAATACAGGTGGTAGATATAAACAGGTGATATATAATACAGGTGGTAAATATAAACAGGTGATATATAATACAGGTGGTAAATATAAACAGGTGATATATAATACAGGTGGTAAATATAAACAGGTGATATATAATACAGGTGGTAAATATAAACAGGTGATATATAATACAGGTGGTAAATATAAACAGGTGATATATAATACAGGTGGTAAATATAAACAGGTGATATATAATACAGGTGGTAAATATAAACAGGTGATATATAATACAGGTGGTAAATATAAACAGGTGATATATAATACAGGTGGTAAATATAAACAGGTGATATATAATACAGGTGGTAAATATAAACAGGTGATATATAATACAGGTGGTAAATATAAACAGGTGATATATAATACAGGTGGTAAATATAAACAGGTGATATATAATACAGGTGGTAAATATAAACAGGTGATATATAATACAGGTGGTAAATATAAACAGGTGATATATAATACAGGTGGTAAATATAAACAGGTGATAGATAATACTGGTGGTAGATATAAACAGGTGATATATAATATAGGTAGTAAATATAAACAGGTGATGATAATACAGATGGTAGATATAAATAGGTGATATATAATATAATACAGGTGGTAGATCTAAACAGGTGATATATAATAGAGGTAGTAAATATAAACAGGTGATGATAATACAGATGGTAGATATAAATAGGTGATATATAGGTGGTTAATATAAACAGGTGATAGATAAAACTGGTTATATATAATACAGGTGGTAGGTATAAACAGGTGATAGATAAAACTGGTTATATATAATACAGGTGGTAAATATCACCTGTTTATATCTGCCCCCTGTATTATCTATCCCCTTTTTATATCTACCACGAGTATATCGCCTGTTTATATTTACCACCTCTATTATATATCACCTGTTTAATCAATCACCTGTATTATATTACCACCTGTATTATACCACCTGTATTATCTATTGTAGTATATATCACCTGTTTATATATACCACCTGTATTATCTATTGTAGTATATATCACCTGTTTATATGATACAGGTGATAGATATAAACAGGTGATAGATAATTTAGGGGGTAGATATAAACAGGTGATAGATAGTACAGGTGGTAGATATAAACTTGTGATATATAATACAGGTGGGAAATATAAATAGGTGATATATAGGTGGTTAATATAAACAGGTGGTATATAATAAAGATGGTAAATATAAACAGGGGATATATAATACTGGTGGTTAATATAAACAGGTGGTATATAATAAAGATGGTAAATATAAACAGGGGATATATAATACAGGTAGTAAATATAAACAGGTGATGATAATACAGATGGTAGATAGTAACAGATGATATATGATACAGGAGGTAGATATTAACATGTGGTAGATAAAACAGGGGGTAGATATAACCTGGGGATATATAATACAGGTGATTAATAATACCGGTGGCAAATATAAACAGGCGATATATAATACAGGTGGTTGGTATTAACATGTGGTAAAAATAAACAGGTGGTCTATAATACAGATGGTAAATATAAACAGGGGATAGATAATATAGGTGGTAGGTATAAACAGGTGATAGATAGTACAGGTGGTAGATATAAAAAGGTGATAGATAATACTCGTAGTAGATATAAACAGGGGATACATAATACAGGTGGTAGATACAAACAGGGGATATAAAATACAGGTGGTACATATATACAGGTGGTAGATATTTACCACCTATATTATA